CAGATGTAATATCCGGTGCGTCATGATGAGGTCAACCCTCAGTCGACGATAAGCTAGGGTGTACAGCCCTAGTTTCTTACACCGGTCTTCGTACGACACACCTCGTAAGTTGGGAATCAGCCTGTTGGCTACATGCTGCACTCGCTCAATCTTTCCTACCTCGCCCCGGGTGATAGGACAATACGCGGGAGAGCCATACTCTAGCACTGGCCGTGTTATTGAGAAGAAGTGGCGAGTGGCAATCTCTTCGGACCAAGGGCTGAAGCTGCGCCTGAGCGCCCAAAGCATACGAAGGTTGTTTTGGTAAATCCTATTCGTGTTGTCCATGGACTTTAGGTAGCAGCGTGACAGCACACCGAGGTCGCGCACGAAAGGCGTGGGATACAACGGTTGACCGGCCACAGTGTAGGTTTGACTGTGCTCACACTTACCCAGCCTCATGAACCGCGACTTGACGGGGTTGATGGGAAGGTTGAACTCTGCAGACAACATGGAGAGGCTGTCAAGTTCCTACTGAAGCAAGTCACAATAACTGTGTGTGCGGGTTACTCTCCACACCTTCCAGGCATCTGCGAACAAGGCACAAGGTGATTGGAGTAGGTGTGGCGAATTGTTTACAAGGATCAGAAACAGATTCGGCCTCAGTACCGTGTCTTGGGGCACGCCACTGCTCGATGGATGCCAGTCGGTTAAATGGTTGTCAAACTGGACCGTCCACTTACCATCAACAAGGAAATTCCTAATCCATTAGTACAGCGAACCAACAACACCGCACATCCTCAGCCTGTCGAGGATCACTGCATGAGTTACATTGTCAAAAGCCTTACTGAAGTCAAGGTTAATGACGTCGTCTGATTTGCCTTGGTTCAGCGCTTGTAACTCTTCGTGCCTCGTCAACAGTAGGTTGATGATGCACGAGCGACCTTTCACGAAACCATGCTGTGCGGGCGTCAAGCGACTTTTCGACTCGATAAGCTGCAGAAGGCTTTTCTTCACTATCATCTAGAGCGCCTTTACCAAAACAGCGGTAAGGCAGATCGGCCGGTAGTTATCTACTTCGCTTGGGTTACCACCTTTAAGTATTAACAATACGACTGCGCATTTTCAGTCGCCCAGCAATAGTCCAGTAGATAGCGACCAGTTGAACAACTCAGTTACAGAAGGCGACATGATGGTCGATATGGACTTGAGGATCAGTGGGTGAATTCCATCTGTCCCGGCAGGCTTCGTCCCGTCAAGATTTGCTAGAAGCTTGCGTACATCTTCAATGCTACAATCCAGCGTGTCTGGTTCAGCGGCAGCGGTACTCGTGGAACTCGGTAAAGACACCTGGTCACTTGAAAATACGGAGGCGAAGTGCGCCGCCTATGCGGACGCACGACCTTTGCTCGAGGTTAGGGGCTGTCCATCTGAGCGTTTCAACACGGGAACATTGCCTGCAAGCCTCAGGCGCCGCTTCACGTATGCGACGATCCTCTGGGAGCAGTTCTTGCAGCGGTTGCAAGCTACTCCTCGAAGCTACTGCGCATTTTGTTTTGGCGTTGTTGCAGAGGTTTCGCTTTACCTTGTAGCACTTATAGTCCTCAGGAGAACCAGATAACACGAATTTGTTCCATAGTCCGCGTCGTCGTCGTCAGGCCACTTCGCTGTATTCCTTGTTTAACCAATGTGATTTGACTGACCCAAGTTTCCGATACTTGAGGGGTACAAATCGGACGCAGAACGATTTCACTTCCACTTTAATCATAGTCCAACAGGTTTCAATAGATGAATAATCTGGAAAGATCAGTCCAAGTGTGCAAGTTATTAGAAGATTATTCAGGTAGGCATGCCAAACCAGATATATTGGAATGAAATTTATCCAGCTTAAAAAGACCTCGGTTTTGTGTGCGTAGGTTTAGCCCAACTGTGGTGAAGGAGTATCATGAATGCAACATCAGCCTCAGCAGGGGGCACATCACATATACATACATGGTTGGCGGTATCCGGTTTCGGATTTACATGCCACTGTGGCTAGAAACAGGACCCCTGCGCCTACAGAGGGACCAAGAGTGGCTTGCGCTGCACCAGCCACCGCTCGATCCACCCACCCCATATCCAGTGTAAACCCGAAGGAGTAAGACCGGGTGGCATGCCGATGGCAGGCACGTTTCATCAACGGAGCCCGCCCACACTCCTTCACAGGCAAACACAAGCACCCTGTATTTGGGGAATCAAATGCACACAAGACGGTGGCTGCACCGTAGTCCGCTCCACACTGAGAGCATGGAACCACTCTTCGAGCCTAGCACGGCCACAAGGAGCATGCACCAGCCCCCTCCAGCTTCGACAAACTGTCTTCTGGAGCCAGTATAGACTAGGTAGTGGGTAGTAGTCAGTTACGCACCTTGTCAACATGCACATCAAGCGCAGCCACACCGGGGATTTCAAGCAACAGCCAATCACTTGAAACGACGATAGCAACTAAAATAAATCAAACAATGCCTACAGATATGCCAGTATATCTCTTCTATAAACGAGCATATGAATTAAATGGTTTGCCAGACATCCAGACCAGACATATCAATCATCTGCGACAGCGGCACGGCAAAACTCAAAGAGATCAAGAACCATAAACAGAACAGTGGGACATACTACTGGATACATTCGGTTTAGAAAACAGAACTGATCCCCAAAGCGGAACACAGCCGGTCGCACATACGCCATACGACGTGACATGCAAGCCAAGTCGAAGAAGAAGGCAACCGCGATGGCTACAAGTGGACCCCATGATGAAAAGCTACAACCAAGCCCAAGTGCGGAAAATAAGTAGGAGCAATTAATTCAAAAGGGGAGGTAATAGAAAGGTAAGCGGAGCCAATGTCCGAACACGAAGCCACGCATGGGCTTACCGCGGAGCACGTGAGTTGTCTGCTACACGCGAAGGTCACATAAACGAGCGGGGAACGACCTTCGACCGTTTTGCCAAATTTGGGAAGCGGGTGCAAACCGATTGGCCAGCAATTACAAGCCGGAATCAAGGGAGGAGAACCATTCTGCCAAATTTGGAAAATCCGTGCGACAGAACCAACCCACATTGGCTGAGAGCCAGACGTTTCCAAAACTAGTATGTTTCGTTCACTAATAAACAGAACTGTCCTGTCGTGTAGAATAGACTCCCTGCTTACCGAGCCTTGTTCTCCTCTATCCCGTCGGTTGGTTGGGTGCGTGATTGAGCAATCAGGCGGTCGTAGTCTCGCAGGCGCAGACTAGCAGCAGTGCAGCAGTACGAAGGCAGCTTTACAATAAAGTAATTGGTTTTCCAGACATCCGCTATAGGTTGAAGACATCAGAAAATAAAAAGTTGGACTTGGAGACCGCTGGTGGTTGGGTTGCTACAAGCAACCTCCATTGAGACCTCGGTTCACTTGAGGTGGACCTCAGTCATTCCGATCACAAAGACCGTAAGTAAAATGGAAACATTATAGTGTTGCTCACCCCAACACTGGCACCCGAAGATCGCGGTTTCGTCCTGCTTGGGACTCATCAGTTCGAGATAGCCTGAGTTGGGCCGGAACTCAGAGTCTAGTGGCTTATGGTTGACACCATAAGCTTCGCATATGCAGGTGATGTCGTGCGCTATTGAACCGTCGTCCGGGATCAACGATATAACCAGGCTCATCCTTCACTTCCATGCCAGTTACGAACTGTGCAGAGGGTCGGAATCAAGTAGGAGTCCAGGGAAGGCGCAAAACTGACGAGACCCAGAATGGAGGAGACTGCGACGAACTGACTTTGAAAATATCACATTTTTCGTAACATGTAATTCACATAAACCACCTCACAGGACATGTCAAACGTTGACCTTTCTGACTGGATTAGACCGTTGTTCTAATGAGTTGTCCTCTATGTAGTCATACAACACAGTGTACTTAGGAAGTAAGGCATAAGTGTGTTTATTTTTCTCACAAAATTGTTTGACTGCAGCTGTTCCCTCCCTATCGTTTTGTGCATTAATATCCAGTACGCTGGCTCCCACCAACTTCACAGAGCGGCACATTCAGGGCATTTACTTCTTTACTACTAGAATGCCATCGTTTGAGGCTTCATCAGTAGACGCTTAGGCGGGTGACACATATCTGTTGATCTTACAAGTCTCACACCCAGCATCTCACGGGAATTGGTACGAGGTTACTTCGCACCCATGATGCATCATTGCCGAGAGATTGCCGCACTCGGGGGTGAATCACCTTCCCCATAACTTTCCTTCAAGAAGGAACGTCAAAAATACGCTATCCATTAAGATAGCATTCAGGTCTGTCCTCGGGTAACCTGGTCACCGCACATTACAAAAATTCACTCATCGGACTACTTCACTCACAAACCAAATCCTGGACCGGGCGACCTGACCAACCCAACTGAGCAAGGCCGTGATCGCCACTATAGTACTCGTTAATTGTGCCGAGTGGGTCAAGGATATCTCCTGTGCGCAGCAGATTCAGTGAGTGCTAGGTTGCACGGCGTCTGCGCAGTGGAAAGTTCAAACTTCTCACGCGTGCCCGTACTTTCGCCTATTTTGATGTTACAACAAGGTCACACCAGGCATCATGGGGCCACAACGTGTAAGGTAAATGCGAAACTGGTCCGATTGTGTGCTATTGATGGTCCACATAGTGCAGTACGGCACTTGTTTACGAGGGATGAGGTCATTACTGTAAGCGTACAAAGTCTGCGATAGGCCGTCTAACCGAATAGTGGCACGTCTGGTTCAATCAAAGGAGGGAGAAGTATTTAACCCAGACGTCCGCATGAGTCTGAGAGTGCAAAGAATCTTTGCTTACTGAAATGCAGCATCTATCCATAGCCTTTCTGTGCACTCTGGCCATTCTACGCTCGGCATTCTCCGTCGGTAAGTTCAATACGAGTGAATAAGTTCGTTCTGTGAGTGAATTTCTATGGCCAATCATAAGTCTCGTCACATAGTTTGTCCTTGTGAGTTGCTCGCAGTCACATACATACTAATGCTTGCCCATTTCCATAAGTACCTGGTGACTCCACCCACATCCTCATTTGCAGTGGAATTTACAGTCGTGTTGTCGGTTCCCTTACTGGATGAAAGCAATTCACTACACGATGCATCGGAGTCAAATAATGAGTGCGAGCTGGTAAGTAGGTGGTGATCCGTAACTTAATGACTTTCTGTGAACATTCGTGCTTTTTATACCAAGTTCAATCTGCTCGACTGTCCGAACTACGAGGTATAATTCAAAGAAGTGAGAAGGCAATGCGAGATCCGGCTTAAAGCAAAATGCTGTGCTTGAAAGAGTAACGAGGTGACAGAAGAAAGCCCTATTGAAACATGTTGTAACGGAAAATTCCTCTGAATCGCCTCTTCGGATCGCAATTGTCCACATAACATAGCCACCTACATGTGTCATGAGTTACCGATGGACAATTTGGCCACCTTTCGCCCCCATTGTATACTTGCACGGTTACACGTTAAACTGATCACGCACTTATCGCCATTGATCCCTTACTGTTTAGCTCTCCTCACTTACGGCTATAAACAAATCTTCATGCACTTGGTGCGCTGACGTCACTGAACCGATGTTCCCCCACTCTCTGTGGATTTCCCATGTATTCATCCATTTGACTTCTACTTGTCGTGTGCATGTGTGCCCCCATCTGCATAATTTTCCACTCTGAGATTATACGCTCAACGAGTGGTTACGGTGACTCTGTTAATCATTTCCAGCTTTTATCGTGTATTCGCTTCGAGTTGTTCGGTTCGATCAGTGGTTTCCACATCTCATTTTGCTTCCCCGCACGTTTAATTGCATCCCCTTGCTGACGCACAAATAACCAGCATCAGAACGAGTAGGGCCTGTTTATTTTCCTTGTAAGATTAAGGTAATTTAATGGATCATTTCGTAGCGCTCGTTTTTTAAGTAGACTGCGACGCGCAACCACAGGCGATTTAATTTGAGATGAATCTTGATAAATACGATCACTTACACCGTAACTGATGAAACTGATAAATACTGGGTGCTTTCCACTGGAAAATACTACACTCCACTACGCGTCTCAGTCTTGTTAGATCTCTTCGATTAGAGAGAGCAAGCCTCGAAAGCTGGACCATTCATATGTCAGATGGAAACTCTGCCCGCTGGCTTCTAGCCACATGAATGTGCTGCAGATTCCTAAGTTGCTGGTCGCTGATGCAGCACATAACCAGGTTACTGCGACTTATGCGACGTATACTGAGAGGCCAGCACCAAACACACAGCACTGGCAAAATCCCCAAAGTCGACAAGTTAAACAAAGAACGCAATGACACTGTGGACCGTGTTCAGCACAACCTTTCTCATCTCGATTCTCCCGTCATGAATCATTTCTCTTTCCGATTTCCATAGCTGAAATCACGCGGCAGGACACATTGGGATTCCGGACTGTTCAATGAATGCATCGCGTATGGACTCATGCTGGCACGTACGACTCCAGCTTATGAAATGCAAATTGCCATGAATGAGAAGAAGTTCCCGTGGGACTACCACAGTCTTACGGTGTACGAACGTGCGTGGGAAGTAAATCGGCTGCTCAACATGAATGCCAGTGGTTGTTGGACCACCGTCACAACCGGGGACGAACAAGACGTCTACGGTGAGTTCGGTGTTTGTTTGGTTATGAATGTGCCTGTCTTGTGACGTTGATAGAGAGGGATGTGTTAAGGATGCTCCGGGGGTCCATTTCTTCATCTCATATAAATAAATAAAAAAATAAACGTTTTATTCCTCAGCAGTGCGAGGCACAGACCAATTGGGTAGTCTTATCAACATGTACAACGTGATCGCATAATATAGTTAATTATTCGTCTTTTGATCAATGGTTCCCATATGGGTTTTTGAAATGATTAGCAGTTTGGAAAAAGTAGAGAGATAAAGAAATTGGGGACAATAATAAATGTAGGTTTCACGGAAAGTTCAAGTAAAGTAATAAGGTCATCCATGGAACTGTCCCCAGGTGACTTGCTTCCATGCAGGGTATTTCCACGATGGGTTTCACCCGCACTTCCATGCTCCAATTGGCTCTGTGCCTGTGTGGCAAGATAGTAAATAGGCCATCAGAACTAGGTATCAAATGTCCTTTTTTAAGGCTGTTTTATGCATACATTGTAGGCGATGAAGCCTCAGCCCGTTCTGTCATGCGGTTCAATCAAGTATGAGACTTTTTGTTTTAAGCCAGCGAGTCAGTAGTAATATGATTTGCATGGGTATACTTTTTATTTTTAAAACTGTAATCCGTCACCACAAGAGATCAGCCCAGTCATGACCAACGGTGAAACAAAGAAGATAAAGTATGAGGAATTATAAAACATAATGATGAATACAAATGCTTGCTGATAGGCCAGTCACAATTTGATGGAAAATCTTGGCGAGTGACGACGATGGTACAGAGACATCAGCTTGAAAGGCGTAGTGCATCAACGAACCAGTGCTTCAAAGGAGAAAACAGCATTGGTTAGACGAATTGATAGGAGTAACATCGTTTTCAAATATATACTCAAGAAGGCAATTATATGTAGGTAATCTTATATTATTGAAACGAATATAAGATATAGTGACTTTCATATGTATCCAGGACCTTTCTCATACAAATCATCTAGAGTCACACTTTGGCTTAGTGTTGACCAGATATTTGCAACAGTCAGGTGAATATTAATCATGCGTCTGAATTGTGGATAGGTAGTGCAGTTTCTAACACTCGATGGAAGTTTGTTCCATATTAACGCATAATTTACGGATAAAATATTTGAGCGGAGCTTTGTGTGAGACTTCCGTATTTTCACTGCGCGCTCACTGCTTCTTAGTTCATAGCGCATACGAGTCTGAAACTCGAGTTGTGGGTAAGCAGTGAAACTAAACCCGAATAGTAAGCGTTATAGAAGGCACAGAATAAGTTTGAGTCTGGGTAGCCATAGCGGCTCCAGATTTAGCGCCTCGCAACGCTCACGGTATGTCATAGTATCAGGCATGTTCAGAAACCCTTTTGGGAATGATCGTTGAATGTTTCCTAGTGCTATAGTATCCGCTTTTCTCAGATTACTATGCACTATCGTACAGTACTCAAGCTTCGGTCTAACACATATTTTAAAGTCTTGAAGCCTGGAGTCCATCAAAATAAGAGTTCGACTTATGTAGATGATGAGTTTTCTGGAAGAAACCTGCAAGAATATAACATGCTTTAAAAAATTAGACGACGCTGAATATCTTAGACCAAGGTCTCGGATTGCGCCACACACAGGAATAGGGGTATCGTTTAATGTAAGGATGTTCAGAGAAGGGCCACAGCCGTGGTACAATAGATTACTCTTGTCAGTGGAAACGTGCAACTTCCAAGAGTTACTCCAGAGCTCCAATGCGGATAAGTCAAACTGAATATAGGCTAAGTTAGGACTACATTGTCCAAGGGCGGAACAATACACAATTTTAACATCATCAGCGAAAAGGAATGGCTTCCCATACGAAATTTCATCAAGGAGATCGTTGAAATAGATTAAGAATAAAAGCGGGCCTAGCACGACACCTTGAATCACTCCACTAGGGATTGTAGTGGCGTCAGATGTATAGTTACCGATTTTGTCTATTTGCTTTCTACCCTCGAGGTAGGAAGACAACCAATCTAGAAGCGAATCTGCGATACCATAGGACATAAGCTTCCGCAACAGTAGGTTTTGTGGGACACCGTCTAAAGCCTTTTGGATGTCAAGAAATATTACGAGGATGGCACTTCCGGCGTCTCTTGCTCTAGTCACATAATCAAGGTAATCTAACTGGCAGGTAGTGCACGACCTACCTTCCAAAAAACCGTGCTGATGTTTACTGAGAAGGCTCATAGGACTCAAAAATGCTATTATGCGTTCTTCAACTATCCTCTCCATGATTCTGCAAATAATAGATGTGTGGTGGATTGGGCGGTAATTTTTTGCATCTTGCATAGATCCGCTTTTGTGTCTTGGTATTATAGTTGATTGTTTCCAGTGTATAGGATACTCCCCATCGAGCATGGAAAGTGTAAATACATTAAGCCAAAACAGGGGGATGTCTGGACCTCCGTGCTTTACCAGTATTGGAGGGATGTTGTCAGGGCCTGGTGAGCATGATGACCGAACTAACCTGAGTTGGCGACATATGTCACTAAGTGTAAATTCAACAGTTTGGAGTATATTTCTGCCTCTGTGTATTAGCTTGAGCTGAGGATCTTCATTCGCATTAGTGCTGTAAGTAGACATGAAGTAGTCATTTAAGATCGAACATATGATTGCACGGTCGGTTATGGTAGTTCCATCAGAGTTTACAATGGTGTGTATACAACTTGATTTTCTGTTCTGCCTACGGTCGAAAAGTTTTGAGGTGCAGCCTATCACGTTGGCGCCATTCAATGCCATTACTTCCTCAGAGCATAGCATTTTGTGGTGGTCTTGGTATAACGCTGTAAGCAATCTGGTGTGGAGCATCAGCAGAGTAAAATCGTTTGTTTTCCCAAATTTTTCTTTATTTTATGAAGTTTATTGGCTACCATTTTTGAGATGCCTGCAGGTGCAGCAGTCCTTTCCAACTTCTTGATACGTTCCGGAGCCACAGCTTTAACACAAAGCTGAATGCGGTGGTAGAATTCATCACATGCAATTTGTACATTCTGTGCTAAGAAGAATGGATCCCAATATGAAGACCTTATAAGATCCGAGAAAATTGACCAATTCACAGAAGAGAATGGACTGTAATTGATCACTGATTCTACCGGTTTAGAAAGAATTTGTAAAGAACAACCAACGATGTTATGATCACTACCCGGCAACTTGTCACTGATGTATGTGGACACATGCGAACATCCCATAGTAAATATTAGATCAAGTGTGTTACCAAGCCGTGCAGGTTCTGTGACGTGCTGTACCCATCCCAGCCGACGAAGAGCAGACATAAAAGGATTGCCTTTTTGTGGTTTATTTTTAAGGGACCATGGAATTTCGGGCATATTAAAATCCCCAGCGATTATTTTATTAGTGTGTGAGAGGTCAGCAATAAAAGAAAACGTGTCCGACGAGTCATCGGTCACGGTGAGTGTAGACGATGGGGGTCTGTAAATATAACCTACTAAGAGATTTGTTGGATTAATAGAAATTGTAATCCACACCGAATCAGGAAGTTTCCGTAGGAGTGGTTCATTCAGAGGCAGAACCAAGTGTTTGTGTTTGACGTAGATTATACAGCCACCACCTCTACCATAAAGGCGGTCATTACGAAAGATGTTATAACCCAGTATCCTGAACAATGTGTCAGACATCTCTGCTGAGCACCATGTTTCTGGAAGCTTCAATCTGTCAACTCAGCAGATCGGCCCAGTCGTGACCAAGCATGAAAAGAAAATAATAAATAAAGAAATAAAAGCTCTGTTCCCAGCAGTGAGGTGCATGCCTACGGAGGCATGATCATGACAACACAAACAAGCATGTTGGGTGTTTGTAAAACAATCTAGCGCGTTAAGCAGTAACATACTGGATTTGTGTGTCCGCATATAGTACAGCGTAGTATCAGTGGGCATGGTGACTAAACTTTTCTAGTGTGACTGAATTCATGAGTTTGTTTGCTGTGTTCACCATCGTATGAAGGCATTGAAGACACTCTTCAAAATGAATGACGTTTATGAAGTGGGGATCCTCCGGAAGGGGAAGAGTCAGTGACTGTATGTAGTGGCGAGTCACGTCTGCCACGTTGCAGTGTTGCTAAACGGATCTTTGTGTCTTTTTATAAGGAGAACTCTTGTCAGGTGAAAACCCACTACGTCCTGGAACACTGCCGCCGGACTATTCGCTGGAACGCGATTAACCAGAACCACTAAGCTAGCACCTCGTGGAGGTTGTTCTGCTAGTCAGGAACAGATGCTATTCGCTGCTCTAGAATGTGATGTGATATGGCAGTTGTTCGTGACGGTTCATACATTCAAGAGAATAAATAAGGAAATAGAGTAATGATTGTTTTCGGCAATGTGTTAGAAGTATTTATAATCCTTGCAGCTCGAAGGATTTTCAGGTAGTTCCATCGGGTAAGGCCAATCTTAAAGACAGAAATTGTAATCTAAGTGCATTTCGCAGAATAGGGAAAACGGCAACGTATCAGGAAGCAAAAGCGGATAATTAGCTGTGTAGAAGAAGTACAAGGAAAGAAAATAGAAAAAAAGCCTGCGAATAGTTTTCACCTTGTTGTGCCCAGATAGACTATTTGACGGGAAATTCGCTTGAGTTAAAGAAGTATCTTAATGCCTCTGTTATCCGTGGTTAATTCCATGGAGTCGGATGAAAAGAGGAGACAGGACAATTAATGTAAATCCATCTCACCATAGTTTCATAATGACATGCAATTGTCATCCTTGATCGCAACATATTGAAAGCTTTTTCAACGCTGAGAATTCAATGTAATGCCTTTCGAAATTTTATCCCTGACTGGAGTTCATGCACCTCACCTGGATGCCCGTTCCATAATACGGAGTATCGGTTAAGGAAAAAATTGTCCGACTGTCTAGTTCTTGATACTTTCAGTAATTTCTTTTGTCGTTGTTCCTAGTGCCATATATTATCAGTGCATTTAATTGCAGCACCGGATTTGATGAGTGAATTCCTTTGGTTAGGAAATCAAAAAGACGGGAAGGC